ATGTTTTGCGATTGATTATCATTGGAGTCCTCTTCTGCAATTGTGTCTAGAAAAGATGGATCATTCTCTAAAAAGTCATTGTTGAAGACTGATGGATCACATGATTTATCTTGCGATCTATCTATGCTCATACTTCTTTGGGATGACTTTCCCGCTAGTGGTGATCTTTCAATGATTTCGATTTCTGTGACGCAATTTTTACCAGGACATGTGATTGTATTTTCTCTATTATTCTCAAGACAGAGACAATGAAAAATATGTCCACAAGTTAATACAGTGAAAGATTTTTTTAATAGATGCAAAAAAAATTCTTCGTTGCATATTGAGCACGGTTCTAATTCAGGAATGTCAATATTACTTGCAATACTTTCAGGATGGCCATTTTTGAGAATATTCAAAGCAAGAGTTCTAAGACACGTAATATCCATAATGTTAATATTTTGCATAATATTTCTATCAAATAATAAGTAGTGTTTTTATAGCCATTTTATAGTCGCAAAGTGATGCTAGGTATTTCCGCAAGTCAAAAAATCAATAAATTAGTAATTTCGGAACAATATTTATCATGAATGGGTTAATTTATTCTCTATGGGCGATCCGCTACCTTTGCCAATCCTAATTATTTGTGCATTTTATCTGATAGGTAAAATCAATTTTTTTTTTATCCATGGGTTTCCAGACATTAAATCAGGCCCAGGCCGATCGCAATATTCTTTGTTGAAATTATCGATATGAATATTTGGGTTAAGTTGTTTTATAGCTTTTTTACTAATATTTTCAATCTGGAATTTTTTTTTTCTATATATTAATAACGGTACTAGTATCTCTAATACATAATATAATTTTAGCAGAGCTAGTTCCACTAATTCCAATGGTTGAAAATAATAGTAATACTGATTCGATTCATCAAGAATTACTAAATAAACTGAAAACAATATCAGAAGTTAAAACTGAATTAGAACAAAGATTTAGTATGACAGATATCTGCTACATGAAAGTCATGTGATTCAAAAACTGTGACAAAATGTCACGATTGAAACTTGGAATCTTTAGTTATACTAAAGGCTTTGCTATTTAGCCATCAGAATTGGAATCATTGGAAACAGAGTCTAATTTTTCTACTGATATAGAATATGATCTACATATACGATAAACAAAGAAAGAGTAACGGATAATTAGTAATTATACATGTCAATGATTTCTGCTAAAGCATATGGTTTATTCTTAGGCTTGGGTTTAGTATCACTATCAGAATCGGAATCAGAAGAAGTATCACCTTTGGTATAATAATTTCCAGAATCGAAACGGTCTATCTTGTGTCTCATCAAAATTCTAGCAAGTAAATTAAGACTTTGGGTCGTTGGATTTTGGCCACCGTGCACTCTAGAAGCATGCTTGCCTCCTATTTTTCTCAATCTTTTGGCTGTAATATTATATTGCTTTGAAAATTTGGCAAAAGCTCTGATATTACGTTTTCCATTATCACTATATACAGGATGACGTAACTTTTTCATCGATATGGCATCTTGAATCCAAGTAAGTAATTCTCTTGCACACTCTGGATTCTTTTCCATGGAAAGGAATTGTCAAGGCTCAGGATTAACCTTCTTTTCTCCCTTATTCTTAATATATCCTGTACAATACCAAGAATAATCGGGTTTGTACCATTCTGGAAGGTCTGATTCATCAGGTGAGTTGGAGACTCGAAGCTTGGCTTCTTCATAATGGATAATACGAAGAGTAGTAACTTCAGCAGGTCTCATGCTTAACATCATAATTACGTCTGCAAGATCCTGCATAGTTGGAATTTTAGTAGTATTGATATTTTGAATTCTTCTAAGTCCCTCATCTAAGGAGAAATGTTTAGGAGTATTAGGAGTTCTAAATGGATTAATTAATAGTTGTACAAGTTGTTTTTTCTGAATTTCGTTAGAAGCTTGAGTAAGTTCTGGAAATTTAGCATATTTATCAATTTTTTCAGGATCAACTCCAGCTTCTTTCAATTCCTTATGAAATAATGTAAGATGTGAGCTGGATGCAACAATTTCTTCATCACTATCGTTTTTTGTCTTGATTAAATCTAAAGCATGTAAGTAAATATCATATGGATTACCACTTTTAGCGCAATATTGAGCTCTCTCCCTAATAGTAAGTTTTTCATTTCTTTTATCCGGTACAAGAGCCTTTATCTGATCTTCTTTGAATAAGCGTCAACGAAGAGCTTCTTTCACGCTTTTTTGGGCTTTCCAATCTAGAAGCATAGCACCGAGCTCACTAGTATATTCGCGTAATTGAGATGGGTTGGATTCAGCGGACAAGTTATATTTTTTTAGGATCTGGTCCAAAATGGAAGTAAAACTAATACTTTTGGGCTTTGAGGTAATTGTTTCTTTATTATATATCGGTTTTTCGATATACATGGTTTGAATAGACATTCCGTTATTATGTAAAATTAATTTATTTTAATTTTGATTTTTATATACGGTAGTTGTAAAGGACAAAAAAAAAACCCTTTATCAAATATTCGGCTGTAAAAATTATGTGTCAGGGGAATTAGTTCGTCATTATTTGTTCCTTCTGATAGGTCCTGAATTACCTTAGATATCCATTTTCTTGAAGAATGGCTATATTTTTTTTCCACTCTTCATTATCGAAAATATATGATCGTTGTATTCCTTCTTCCTCCCATTCACGTAAATATATTTCTTCACTTATTAATCTTTCTCTCCTAGTCATATTCATTAGCAAATCTGGATCATCATCAGTCTCTTTTGCAAACTGAATCATATCGGCATCTGACATCATTCTATCTCGGTATGTTGTAGATAAATTAATATCTTTTTCAGTAATAGTCATAAACTTATCTGGATCCTCACCATGATCGATTGCCCATTGCCTTAGACGTTTTTCTCATTGTTCCCAGGTCAAGTAATCGGATGGTAATGGAACTGGTTTTGATATATCTTCTTCATTATTAGATGAGTCAGAGACTCTATGCTCCGCATTTTCGGTTTTATCGCTTTCAGATATGTTGGAGGATATTTCCAATTCATTGCTAACAGGTTCAAGATTTTGGAAGAATTTAAAACAGGTTTATCAAGCAATTTATCCTGATTATTGTTGACGCAATTTGTATCTGAATTTTGATCACTAGTATTGGTAACGGTTTTTATATTACATGATATATTGGATTGTTCTGAAGGGACTGATTTTATTTTTTCAGTATTTATTTTTTCCGGTTCGTTTTCTTCTTCCTTTGTTTCAGGAACGTTAAATACTGGGATTTCTTCCATAGAAGTTTTAGTAGGTAAGCTATCTTGTGAAATATCAGAAGTGGGAAGGCCATGAGTTTCCAACTCAAAATCTTCGATATCACCAATGGAATTGCATAACTTAGCTACTATTTTGGAATGGTCGATGATGTAAACGGATTCCCTTTTTCCATTAACTCGTACCTGTTTTTTCTCTATTCCTATTGGTGGGAGAAAACCTCCAAATTTATTGT